AACATCTTAGATAATTAACAAAAATTCATCAAATTTCAATCATAAAACTCTTCTTCTATAAGAAAACCATACCCCCCCCCAACTAATTTTTTTTTTTAGTTAGAAAAAAAAACTATATAAAAAAAAATTCTGTGTAATTTTTTTAACGTATTAATCTGGCCTGTAATCTGATCATGAATCCGTCCCTGTATATAAATATACAAATTACCTCTTGATTTTTCTCTTCAAGTGTTTGGTCGCTGGTGGGGGTGGGGGTGGGGTTACTTTTAAAAAAATATTTTGTATGTAAATACGTATTTATTTGTTTTAATTGAGATTTACACTTTTTGAAAAGTTATAGAATTTCATTTAAAGAGGACGACATTTATACTTTTCCTATTGTAAGGCAGTTGATACTAATAACATTATTTGTTTATTTATAATTTAGTAAGGGTTAGATATTTCTTGGTGTTCGGACCCTTATTATCATATGGCATAATATTCGATGGACCTCTTTTCTACGGACCTTGTCTATTTAGGTTCCCACCGTGTTGTTCTTATGTTGTTTGGCTCATGAGATGTCATGTTCGGCCATTTTCCTATACCGTACTTCAATATTTCTGCCTATGGTAGGTCCAAAAGGGAGAGAAAAGAACATTTTTTTTCTGCGCAGTGCCCCTTTCCAAGAAGTTAAGATCGGCATTAAGTTTCAATTTTTTCACTAGTTACAATCCATAAATTGCCTAAACAAATAAACATGTACATGTTATTGCACAAATTATACACGATGAAATTTAAACTATAGAATATATACATGGAGATTGATCGATCCAAATTGGTTTAAATCTAGCCAGCTTGACATATAAAATCTCCAAACCCTGTAATATTATCTTTAACGCCATTCATAATCTTCCAGCACTTCAGAGTGTCCTGCAACATAATCCAAGAATGCTTCGCCTTCTTCGTCACGCCATAATTCAGGTGGGAATGGTGATATTTGGCCAATGACAACTATTGCCACCAAAAACACAGTTGTGGAGAGGAAAAGAGGCAAAAAGTAAGAGAAAATGCATGTAAACTGAGTCATCAATGTAAAGGAAAATGCCAAGACTAGTGGTATAGCTATCGCTGCAATGAAGAGAATTCTGTACTGCAAAAGCATGGCGAGGATATCCATGGCTGGCCTCTGTCTCCTTGAGTTGGAAACACAAGTTTTTTGAGGTTTTAAACATGAGAATGTATTGATTACTTAATTGGCAAAGATTCTTTTGCTCAGTATGTTTAGCTTCTTTGCATCACCTTGTTCCCTAATCTATTCCTCCCTTGTAATGGAATGGCTTCCTTGACGCTCTACATGGTGTCTAGTTTTTATTCGTTGTAAACTAGGTAGA